ACTACCCTTGTATCTCTGACTACATGGTCCTGCCATTTTTGCAAAGCGTCCCCAGACTGCAATGTTCCCATGATACTAGAGTGCAAACCAACAGTTGCCGCAACAGTTATAAACGCACAGTTCCGCGCATGTTTTGCACTGTTTAGATGTCTTCACCTCACAAAGTACGTAAACAAAATGCATTTCGGTCGCCAAATACGCACGCCCGCTGAGATGCAAAACTGCCAAGTTTCGGCCAGCGCGACGACGGAAATTGACGATAAGGTTGAGATTGCTAGTTGTTCACTTTTCAAGTAGACTTTGTTTTGTGCTAAGGGTGACCGCGTGTCATAATCGATCCAATTCTCCTTCTGTGCTTCCATTTGCTTAATTAAGGCCCCCGGAAAAATATGTCCGGTAGTGATAGATTCCCTTGAATACCAACAAGGGGAAAAAATGTAATTCAGCAAATGGACGGGTGGGTTATGCTCATGATTCCCTGATGATTGCCGGGCATCCTGACATTAGTAATCCGAACTCCCGAAACCGCCAGGACTACCCCGAACAACCCGAGGAAACCTTAAACGATTTGGCGCATGCCAGCTCAACGGGGCAGCGAGCTCACGACTCCAATCTGAAAGCCGGAACCCTCACGTTGATCCCGAGATGCGGACGGTATTCGTGGAACGCCTCTCTCGAGGCGCGAATAGTGCAGCTGATCTTTGCTATGTGCGTGTCTGTGTGCGTCCGTCACCGGTGGGCTGCGGGCTGTGGAAAGCTGAGCCTGTATTTGTTGGAGGTATGCTATCCTACTCAGCTCTGTTGCGCGGACTGCAGTGCGGACGCCTAAAGCGCCCCAACCTCCGAGCCCGAATTCAAGCATCGCTGACCTCTTGGATCGCTTGAAGCATCCCAAACTTATGTGAAGGCCTCGCGGCATAATAGGCTGATGACAGGAAGAATAGATGGTGCCCTGAATGCTCCACAAAAACGGACTCAAGGCACACACACACACACACACCTCAGGACCAGCGTGCTGCAAAACAAAGGCACCAGAGTCGCCATGCGATCCCGTTCATATCGCTCCAGTGACTGAAAGAGCTTGGGAATGCACCTAGAGATTCCATTCAAGAAAGCCTCAAGGGATGGTTTTTCGGCAACTGACATGATGAGCACACTGAAGGTTTCAGCAAGCGAAAAAAACACCCAGAATGAAACTTGGGTTCAAATAGGACCCCGGCAAAAAACAACTACATATGGTTTCCCTGGTCAGTGGAAAACAAAAGAGACCCCAAAAGGGCAAACAATCAGAAAAGGGAGCCTCTTCTGGGGAAGGAAAGAGGAATGCGTTGATTGAGCACAAAAATCCGCTTGGCTATTTGGAACTGATAAGCTCAGTGTTCGAAATTTCACAGAGCCTTTCGAATTCCAAGAACACCTTGGACTTTGGCGCTACTGTTTCGGACTGAAGCCCAATCCTGCCCCTGATGCATCTCTTTTACACCGCCCGTGCAGCGTGATAGAAGAAGAAGTCCTCAATCAATGGAAGGACCTGCGCAACAAAGCGCCAAGCATGCTCACAGCTGGCATCCCTTTTTGTATGTTCTGGGTGTTAGTTCTGGTCCCTGGAAGTCCTACATTGGTTCTTCAATCTGCCTTTAGAATGCTTCACCTCCGTCCTCGCCCGCAAGAGGTCTGAGCTTCCTCGCATCAGCCCTTCCGATAAGGAAAAACAAGTGTCACGCGGTTCCAAGGACTTGGAACATACAAAATTTCCCCGGTCAATACCAACAAACAATGGTTTCAATCATGGTTTCAAAGCTGTCCCAAATGGTTTCAATCATGGTTTCAAAGCTGTCCCAAATGGATTTCGCCGAATCTATCAATATGGAATGCCTGGCAATAAGGAAACTCTGGTCGGAGTCCCAGAGTTGCAAGCCAGAAGCAATTTGCAAACGTCAAAAAGGATCAACCAATATTGCACTGGTGTGAGACAGTGATTTTGGCTACTCTACCGAGGGTAGTGGCCGGTACATTATTCGTCCAGCTAATTACTCACTCAAATGGTAATAGTAAAAATAAACTGCGTCCATGCGTGCAAGTGAAATGGGCAGACTGCAAACACTGACTAATCCTAGCTCTTCTTCTTGATAAAGGTTGCCTGAAACAAACAAGTGTGCCGCCCACATAGGTTCCGGTCGTCGGATTTATCAAAGGCGATCCCAATACCCTACCGTGGCAAGTCACAGTTTAAGTGTTTACAAGGCGACGGACCCCGAATTCCACCATGCAGTTGCAGTCTGCACAATTCATTAAAATCAGAACTGGCAATGTCGAATTGTTTGGTTTCTGACTCGTTGGCAACTGACGGAAGGATTCAGTTTCCTGACATAAACATAGGCATCTCCGGTCTATCCCCCATCCGACAGACTATAGCTCACTTCCCGAGTGGATCGGCCCAACGAAGATCCAAACTTGTTGGTCGCCACTTCAATAGTCTTCTTTTTTGGGCTCAAGTCCAAGAACTCAAGGAGGGATTACACCCTCTGGGGAATCACGTCCCTTTGGTTTATTTGGGAGAATTTGGGACAACTCCTCTAAGGTGCAATCCCAGCGTGAGACAGGAAAATCCTTTGAGAGAGTGAGATACACTCGCTGCTCATGAATAGAGGGGACCAGTCATAGAATGCATATCTAATGGTTTACTTCACTTTAAATAACATTGAAAAAACATATATATATATATATAGATAAATATACACATCCTTAGTCTACCCGAGTCCTCTTTGTGAAGAACTCCCGCCTGCTCCGCCACCTGCGGACCATCTCGCAGGCTGAGGTAGGTGTCAAAGTCCAAGACCGGGACTCGGAGAGCGCGCGCCACCGGCAGCAATGGCGACAGCAGAGTCACCATGGCCTCGTTGGACTCCGCAGATAAGAAAGAGATGTGGCACCTCAGGCACCGCAAATGGCGGCGGCGTTTTTTGAGGGTACTCTTTTGTGGGTTGGATTAAAGAAAAAAACGGAGGAACTCCCACTATTTTGGGGGTACGCTTCTCAAATTGGAAAACGCAAAAAAGTGGGTCCACCACTCTGACAAAACTCAGCGCAGCTTGCCCGTTGGCCCCTGGAAGGTGAAGCGACTGTGTTGAGCGCTGGGAAAATCATTGTGAGTGTCGTGCTCATGGCATCGCAAGAAGGAAGTAGGAAGGAATCCTGAAGCCTGGGACAAACATGACATCGCCGGAATCGCCCATTTGCCACTGGAGGTGTGGGGTCAAACGCTCTGCCTGGGGATTCCCAGCACTGTCCCAGTGAACTCGAAGCCGCGATTTCGTGATGTGACTTGGTGTGCGATCGACGAGCTAGCGGTACCACTGTGCACGTGCCAGGCCAGCGCTTTCTATCTGCGAATGACAATGGGCGGCTAATTGTTTTATGAAGACATTCTGCTGGCAGTTACTGAGTTGTGGCTTGCTTGGCCACGGTTGCAGCGCGTGAGTGGAACACCCCAGGCAACGGGGAACAAACCAGCGATGTAGTGTCTGTGGGCCCATTCACGTCCGTTGGAGAGGGCCCGAGCGGCCCTAGCGGCCAACAAGTAAGTTCTTTAGAACAACCAGGGCTCCGCAGCACCCGTGAGCCTGTGGCTCGCTTTCTAGTCCGAAATCGACCCCTTGTCCCACAGGGGGTTGTCAAGAGTAGGAGCCGCCTTTTAAGGGGACAAAAGGGAGACCACAACAGGGCCCCCCCCATAGGTTGACCAACCATGGGTTCCTTAGGGAATGAGGGAATGAACCTGGGGATTCAGGATTCCCCAAAAGGAAACCGCAAGGAGTGGTTTACAGTGGTCCTTCCAACTCATTCCCTCCCCAAGCACCAGGATGATCGCCCCTTTAAGTAGGGAATGAAAATTGCAATGATCCCTCTAAACCATCCCTTGTGGTTGTTAAGGGAAAAGCCAAGTTCAATCCAACTCATTCCCTCACTAAGCAGAAAGCAAGACGATCCCCACCCCTACAAGCTATCTATCAACTTGACCATTACGCGAAGCAGCTGGCGCACTCTTTCTTCCTTTTGGATGGAACATAAATAACAGTTCAGGCAAGGGGGACAACAACCCAAGACGATCCTCACTCGTTTTCGCCCCGAGGTGCGGCGCCCGGCCGCGGCCCTTGCCCGAGCGCAGCAGAAGCGCCAGGCGCCGATGCGCCGCGACGTCCGCGGCACCTACGGCCTCCACCGACAGCGCGTCCGGCGGCAGCGCCTTCAGCACTCGGCCCAAAGGCACCACGCCTGGGGCAGCGCTATAGATGGTTGCGAAATCCTCTTAGGCACCACCCAAAAAATAAAACTGGGGTGATGCTTCCCCTGTAACTACCAACAAACACAAGGTTTGCTATTGTTTCAAAGAAACCATGAGAACCCATGGTTCCCTGGTATTTACAAAGGAATCATCATTCCAGGGCTTCTTGGGTGGTGCAGGATTTCGTCCATCCACTGTATGCATGCGCATCTACACACAGAAAACGGGTTGGATGCGGCTTTTGTGGATCCACCCCTGTAGGATATTAATAGAGTACTAGCAAAGAACCTACAAGGTGAAGAACAGGTGAAAGAAACAAACACCGCAACCAAACCGTTTTCCAGATACATGAGCAGCCGCCAAAAGCTCTGATGTGCCAAACCTTAATTTCTCTAAATCATTCATTTGAATGATTTGCCTTAATCTTGTAGTCTCTTCCTGTAGTCTTCCCGTAGTCTTCCCAGAATCATCCCGTGTCTTCCGAAAATTACTGTTCATCTATGTCGGAAACAAGTTCTTGTGGGAGTTTCACCTTTTTCCACTCCAACACATATCCATTACACCAACCTTTTGAGTTGTAGCTCACATGTCATGTAATATGCACAATTTAAGTGTTAAAGAACTGCCTTAGTGCTGGAACTGGGTAAGCTAGCTCCAAGAATCCATGCACTTGCACGTAACCACTAAAGACTAGATGCACTGGGCGCGAAAAACAACCACGGCAAAAACCGCCGGAACCGGGCAAGACTGGCGCGCCGCACACGTGGCCCTGCGCGTGACTCGACTTCTCACGCGCGTTCTGAGACCGCTGTCGCGACAGCGGTCTCAGAAAGGACATAAGGGAGAGAGAGAGAAAGAGCAGAAGAAAAGAGGCGTAAAAGGATACGGAGAAAGACAAAGAGCAGGGAAAGAGCAAGATAAAGGAAAAGGGAGAGGGAGAAACGGAGAGACAGAAGAAGATAAAGATAAAGAGCAAGAGAAAGCTAAAGAGAAGATACAAAAAAGAGGAAGAGGAAGCGAAAGAGAAATGAGACCGAGACAAATCAAGAGACAGATGAAGAGAAAATATTGAGACAAATAAAGAGGAAAAGGAAGAGCAAGAGAAAGCGAAAGACAAAGACAAATATAACATAGATAAGGAAAATGAAAAAGAGAAAGAGGAGGAAGCTAAAGATAAGAGAAAGATAAAGAGGAAGAGCAAGCGAAAGGGACAGGAGAACGAGACCAAAAAAGAGACAGATAAAGGTAAAGACAACATCATGAACAACATAAAGAGGAGAGGAAGAGCAAGAGACAGAGAAAGAAACAAATAGAGAGACACTCAGAAAGATAAAGAACAGATAGATACGAAAAAAGAGAAAGAGACGGAGACAGAGACAAAGGAGGAGGAGGAAGCGAAAGAAAGAGAAAGATAAGATAACAAGAAAGGGAGAAGGAAAGAGCAAGAGAGGCAGAGGCGAAGAAAAGGGGGAACACGTGCTCCAAACTGCAGTTCTCATGATTTTGAAAACTCCCCCCCGGCTCCGCGGGATTTACTGGTACATGTGTGTAAACACATGGGGGTCGATCAATATTCCTGGCCCACAACTTTGCCCAATTTGTGCTTGAGATATCCAAATCTTGTTTGTCGTTTCCGGCCAATGGTCATCCCATGTGTACCCGACCTTTTGATCAACCCCACTCGAAATATATATATATATATATAGATATATGACTCGCTGGCCACGGGCTGCTCGGTGCACAGCTGAGCGCTACCCAAAATGCTGCAAAAGGCTGCAGGCGGCGCAGGTCAGGTGCGAAAGTACACTTCGCAACCCAAACACTGAGTCTAGTGCGGCTCATCTAAGCATTCTTCTCTACTGAAATCTCTCATCTTCTTACTTGGAAGGGGGGGCCCGTTGTCGCTTGGTGTCAAACTGCCGGGTGGATTTGTGCAGCATCTTGCAGGGTTTCCAGCAGCCAGTAAGCCCTAAGTTTTGATGCACGCATGAGGATGAGTGTCAGACTTCTCTTTGGGGGTCAGCAGTTCATGCTGTATACGTGTACATAAGATGCACAAACACTATGCAAACATCTTGAAGCCTGGTGAATTCCCTGCCGCTGATGGTATATTTGCCAATTCCTGCGGGTCCTGTGCAGGATGATTGGTGGGAAGTACTGATGTGAAGGGACGGGCGAGCCAATCATGACACTTGGACTTACACAACCATCCGCGTCTACCTTACACATTCGGTTGATGAGTGAGCTGTACCTTCAAGGGGGGTGTTCTTGGCCCAAGACAAAAGAAAACCATCCATCTGATTGGCTAGAGGGGTTCCTGTTCACACATGCCAGCACGCCAAAAGCATAGGTGTCCGTCTGAAACAAATCGATGGCCCTGGTAGAAGAAATGAAACCCATCTAAACCAGATCTAAAAATTAACCAAACCAAGGGCTGGTTCCCCATTTTTTTCAACCATCGTTCTTTTCAAACACCGGCCGTTTCCCTGGATTTCCGGAGGTTTTCTAGAAGGATCCCTGGAAAGAATGGGGAAGATAGCACTAGAAAACTAGCAACCAATCTGAACCAGATCTAAAAATGAACCAAACTAAGCCAAACCGGACACCTATGGCCAAAAGGCACAGCACGCGTCTCGATTTTTTGGTGGCGTAGCTTTCACGCCAAGGTACCATCGCCCTCCGAGGCCACCACCAGCAGTGGGTCGGGCTGTGCATAGGCGGCCAGGCCCGCCACGGCCACGCGGCCACAGCGGAAGGGCATCGTGGAGACGGTCGCCGTGCCGCCCCCGGCAGAATGCCCCACGATGCCTCAGCTCTAGAGTTCGGCATCGAGAAAGTTCAGCATTGCTGCTTTTTCTTCCGGTTGGGCTTCCTCCATGTGCGTGCTCAAGACCCTGGGGAACAATATATATATATATTTCCAATATAGAGATAGATGCCCTTAAAACCAACAGGGGAAAATGAAATAATATAGTATAAGCAAATGGAAGGCTTCCTTCACGCCGTAGAGCCCCTGAAACTCACAGACATCGGACATCCCAAATAATATCTGCAGCTACTTAAAGGGGCGATCGATTTGGTACGTCAGGTAAGTGGTTTGTAAGGCTGCTTATAACCAACTTGCCCTGGTTACAAATCTCTGTTCATCTCCGTGCAGTGGGTTATAACCAGGCCCCTGCCCCGTGAAATAGTGATCTCTGAAGGTTGTGCAAAGATATCTCTGCACTCCCGTTTGGGTGTTGCCGTTTCCCAACGCCCAGACGTGTAAGGCCCCTCCAGATAAACACCCTGCATACCCGTATCCCCCAGGTGAAGCAACTGTATTAAATTTGTTCTTTATGGGCAAGGAGAGAATGTAGCGGACCGTCAATGTTTGATGTGCAACTTTCAAACTTAATATCCAGGGTACAAACAAAACCAACCAAAAAGGGCACCCTCGAGAAAAATATACACACACACACACACGCACGCACGCACGCACACACACAGACACACAGACACACAGACACACAGACACACAGACACACAGACACACAGACACACAGACACACAGACACACAGACACACAGACACACAGACACACAGACACACAGACACACAGACACACAGACACACAGACACACAGACACACAGACACACAGACACACAGACACACAGACACACAGACACACAGACACACAGACACACAGACACACAGACACACAGACACACAGACACACAGACACACAGACACACAGACACACAGACACACAGACACACAGACACACAGACACACAGACACACAGACACACAGACACACAGACACACAGACACACAGACACACAGACACACAGACACACAGACACACAGACACACAGACACACAGACACACAGACACACAGACACACAGACACACAGACACACAGACACGCAGACACGCAGACACAGACACGACACGCAGACACGCAGACACACGCAGACACGCAGACACGCACACGACACGCAGACACGCAGACACGCAGACACGCAGACACGCAGACAGCAGACACGCACACACGCACACACACACGCACACACGCACACACACGCACACACACGCACACACACGCACACACACGCACACACGCACACACGCACACACGCACACACGCACACACGCACACACGCACACACGCACACACCCACACACACACACACACACCCACACACGCGCGTACACACACACACACAACACACACACACACGCATATTGGAAAATTTCAGCCAATGGATCAGAACAAGTGGGATGGGTCAAGAAAAAACTTCTCAAGGCCGTTTTTGCCCTTCAAGCTCAGCCACAATTAACGGAGCTAAAGGCCCGGTCTCTTGGCCAAATACATCAACAAAGTGGCACTTGGAGTCTCCGGTCACCCAAAACTATGGGGTCATCGGTTTCAGGACCCACCAGCCCCACCAGCGAAATGCCTGTCCCTTCTACGGGTTCACAGTCAAGTCCATGCTCGAAAGGCACCTGACGGTCCGAATGGTGGGGTATGCCATGATTGCTTCTTGAAAGACTGAAAGCCAACAAAACCATATCTTTACAACATGATTTCACCAAAGGCCACAAGTGGGGTTTGGGCTCAGTTAGAAGAAGGTAGGAGTCTTGACCAGCGTAAGAATCCACATGCGAGGGCTTCCGAGAAAAGCAACAAACACAAAAGGGTTCAACATTTTTGGTCTCCAACAAGACAACGCAAAAGTATCAATCAAGTTTGGCGGTGGGATGCTTCGCGGACAAAAGATTCGAGCTTCTATTCTCACTTGCCCCTTAGAGACCCAGAAATCAAAGGTGATCACCTTTAGGGCCACCAACAACGGGAACCCTAACTTGGAAATTAAGGACCAAAAATGGACCAACATGGACCAAGCATGGACCAAGCATGGACCAATCATGGACTAAAAAACGGGAACCCGAAAGGGGAAACGCCCAAAAGTAAGATCTGGTCAATTCGCTTTGGGAAACTGTGTCTATTTTGAGATTGGGCCAGGACGTCTCTCAATTCGAACCATACCGGTAAACCGATGGCTCCAGCAAGAGGAACGGACCTGGAAAACATCTGTGTGTCACCTCTTGGCTAACCTAGAGTAAATCTGCCTGGCCCCGAAAGAACTACCTTTAAACATGGGTTCTATTCCCCCCAAATTTCCGTTTCTTTCTCATGTTTGCGCTGCAGGAGTGGGACATGGAAACCCTGGCTTGTGGCTGCCTTGCTTAGGAAATCCGCGTACCACCAAAAAAGCCTCATTTGCGCGCTTGCTGTTGAACCATGCTGTGGCTCAAAAGCTATGTACCAAAGAATTGGTACCTTGAAGTATATTTTGCAGCTTTTGTTTCTCTGGAGTAAATCTGGGCTGGGTGTAAACTTTACATCAAAACGCCCCTTTTGCCCGGAACGGAGCGAAATGCCCCCAAAACAAAAATGCGCCCCGACCATCTTTGTCCTGGCAGAGGCTCCCAAGATAGTAAGTTGTTGGTAAGGTCATAACCCCCTTACAAGCCCCTAAGTGGGGATTGTACTAGTGGGTTAGAACCCAAGTGAAGTGGCTAACCACTTCCAAAAAAAACACCGAAAATCCAAGCAGGTCGTTCCTTTCTTCAGATCGTGTCCTGAGGCGAAGCAATCCGGGGAGCGCCGAGATTTGGGCCAAGGAAGTTTGGTAGATTTGATCGAATCAGGGGTTACTGGATTTCCCTTCGAATGGTTGCTATTTGCTGGTGGGTGCCACTTTTTCAGGCACCAAAAACAGAAAGTTTGGGAACTTTAATGTACAAAGAAAAAAAGGCAACACATGGAGAGTCAAAAACAACCCCTCACGAGCCAAAGAACCAAGGAATGTTGTTTTTTTCCAGATTCGGCCCATGCGCCAAGCTACCCAAGTGCTCCACCCCAAACTCGCGGCGCAGTCTCGAAATCAGCTCCTCGAGAATGAGCTGACGGTTCACCCTGCCCAGCGGCACCGCCCCAGACCTCAGACAATTCACCAAATCGAAGCCGTGGATTCCACTGGCCGGGCGCCAGCCTACGTGATGGATCCAACAGCACGTCCTGGGCTTTCGATTTCATGCGATGTGCATAAGCTCAAGGAAAAAAAAATGGGATACCATAGCGGCAAGCATTCAAGTTACCACACAAGGACGCCTTGCAAGGGCGGCAGATGCGGAAGGTTGCCGCACCCTAAGAAGAAAAACAAACAACGGTTGCAAGGTCACAATTCGCTTGCTTCGAGCTTTCCCAATCAAATTCTTCTGGCGACTTCTAGTTAAATAAAAGCCCAGGGTCTGCGCGCGTGCGTGTGTGTGTGTGTCTCAAAACAAGTGAGCTTGTCTCAAAATAAAGAGCCCCCAAAACGGACAGGTTTCCTGTTGGTTTCCCTTTAAAACTTCAGGGACACCCCCCCTAAACAAAAACAACACAGAACGTGGTGCTCCCCCCCCAAAAAAGAAAACGCAAACAGCCTGCTACTGGCCACGAACAACCCGCTGGCCAACCCGGCGAAACCAAGAAGGCCGAAAGGCAGGCCCTCCGGGAAGTCCGGCGCTGCGACCACGAAGCCCTTCTGCGCTAAGCGCTCACAGAGGTGCAGCATATCGAAACCTCGGCTCTGGCAGGAAACAAACACCCCAGCAAAAAACGGTCTTTTCGTCTGGGTAGTGGAAAACAAAAAAGATCCCTCAAAAAGAATAAAACAACGAAAGAAAGCTTTGCCTTAGTGGAAAAGAAAGGGGATCCCAAGCAATAATAAAAGAGAAGGGGAGCTAATTCTGAGGTCACTTGGGGATGTGGGTGGCTCGACTGTTTTAAGGTAGTCCCAAAATGACATTGGTTTTCCATTAGGTTTCCCTGTAAAGACAAACAAAAACAAGTACACTGATGTGCTGATCGGAATTGTCATTGGGGACATCATTTAGGTGGACATCGTTTAGGTGGACATGTCCACCAACCACTTTGGGAGCCGGGCGCCCTGCAACTGCACGATCCTCAAGGAACATCTTGACCGGATCCCATGCTTAAAGGGGCATTGCACGTCCACTAAGTGGTGATCGTAAGCCTGGTGAAATATAACCCACAGAAGCCATTCCGTTCAGTTGGTTATAACCAGGGCTACGAACCACTTGGTAAGTACAATGCCCCCATTCAGTGTCACTTGGGCGGATCAACTTTTTTTAGGTTGGAGTCCCAACATGGCACAACGGTTTTTTTTGGCTTCCCTTTAAAACAACATGAGAGGGGTATATTCATGTGTCGGTAGGAATGAACCCCAATTGTGTGCCTGCATGTGTTGCCCAAAACGGAGTCCCGGCTTCTTCACTTATGCCAGGGCTCACTGCAATGGAAACTGAATGCACTGGGAGTTTCACGACTCGGTATCGGAGACGGCTTCAAGGGAGAAACGTCCCTGAACCTACATTTTGAAGGGGGGCATGGTTTCACTGCGCATGTCACGCCATCGAAACGCTTCCCCACCAACTAAGATGGGTCCAACAGTGGCTGTCCATTGATGGGAGCGGCGCCCGGTGTGCGCTCCAAGAAACCATGTCAAAAGAGCTGATTTCTCTTGCGAGAACCGTCCCTCACAGTAACTCAATGAGCCATCAGCGTCCATCTCTTTACCTGCAATAGAAACGTACTGAAGCGAACGATTGTGCTCCTCCTATGACCATCTCCACACAGCACTTGCAACAAAAACAGGCAGGAGAGCCAACCAAACCAGTAGCGCTTGGTGCCTCTACTCAAGAAATCCACGAACAAGTCTTTGTATCCTGTGGGTTCATCGTGAGCTTACACCAACTGCGATCTCTGAAACTCTCCAAATGACGCTTTCTCGTGCAAGCGGAGCAACATTCCCCATGTCCCAAGAAAACCCTCACAGGTTCTTCATTAAACACGCCCTACCCAACAAGTGCATGTCATCTCCGGAAAAAAAAAGGAACAAAAAACAACAGAAACAAAAAAAACGAAAACAAGCAGGAGACAGGAAAAAAAACACGCCCGCCGTGTTTTTTGTTGCTCCTCTTTCCCCCGGCCGGGCCGCGGCTGCCCAAGTACCCGTGTGCGAAGACCACGGCGCAGCGGGCGGGCCCGGCGCCGTGCCGCGCCCGGGCCAGCTGCAGCTCCGAGGCTGCGGCATCGGAAGCGAAGGGAGCGTCCACCTGGATCCTCGGAGAGGCCGGGAAGGCGGGGGAAGGCCTCCAGTTCCAAACCCTTCCTTGATCTGCAAAGGCAGTTCGTGCGGACCAGCAGGATTTGTCAAGCGATGTGTTTGTCCTTTTGTTTTGCTTGCATTGTCCCTGCTCATCAATGCAGCATAATTCGTGTCCTTGCGGAGCCGGGATTTGTTTTCGGATTGCCTTTTTTCTTTCTTCTTTGTCCCGAGAATGGATTCGCATGCCTACCATGACCTGTTGAATCTCTTATCAGTTGTCAGTCCAAGTGTTCAGCCCCCACTCCCTTCCAGGAATAAGCCTTCAACCCTATCCAATCGAGCCAAGTCCTTACCTGTAAACCAAGCGCTTACGCTGTTCTGTTGTTCTATGCTTGCTAATGCCTTACCAGTTTACCGTTCATTGCAAAGAGGCGTATTTCTATTCTGTCCATTCCAAGCTGTAATGCCCACAACATGCATTCGTAGCGTTGACATCGGATCAATAAACCCGGAGGAAGTTCTGAAGTTGCTTCCCCCAAATCAGATTCTGGAGCTGACGTTATCGGCCCAGCGGGATTTTTTTCCAAGATTCTGGACCTGAAATAATCTTACAGAAGGTCCAGCTGGTGTTTTTTCCCCCAAGGGCGGAGTCACCCGAGTTTTACCACCGAGCAAAAGGCCTCTGAAAAGGGTCCCAGGAAACAATATCCGTCATGGACGATAAAACCCGGTGTGGAGACAAAGGGGGCTGGGGGGGAGGGAGGGGAGGGGGAAAAAGCCCCAAAAAATGACAACACTCTGTTTTTTAGGGTATTTGGGCTCCCTCCCCCTCCCCAGCCCCCCTATTTTCTGAGCTTACTTAAACAACACGTGAGCTTTCGCCTCGCTCATGCGCCACCCTCGCTTGACTTCCGGGTCAGTCATTTCACAAGCGGATTAAAATAACAGGGGATCTCAGCAACACAGGCCGGCACATTGCGCTTGACGTGGCACCAAGTGCGCCAAGTTGCTGGACAGATTGTTCCCATAAGTTCCCTTTGATCAGAGTATCCTTTTGACACAAACTCCTCAACCACGCCAAAGGCAAAGGCAAACTCACCAGCCAAGCGACTTCGTCATCAAGTTCCCTACAGAGCTTGTTTACGTTTGTAGCTTTGAATGCTGCATCGCCACAACTGCAGGTCATGCAAGCTTACTCAAGCTTACACACGGGCTTTGCACGACATACATCCTTGGCTTACAGACTCTTGAGTGCTTAATTAACTTTCAAGAACTGGACTGCTCCCCATCCTGACTGGGAGTCACAAGCTGGGAAAAGAATGAGCAAACCCGCGCAAGCTGTCGGCAAAACGATGCGCACGTTCTTCGGGATAAACGCAGCGGGTAGCATCATGCACATCTTATGCGTAAATCGGCCTGAGACCCAGGCGTATTTCCAAGCTCTTCGCTTGAGACAAGCTGTCTAAACCATAATTGATACTATGACAGCATCAAGACAAGTCACCTACCATGTGCGAGCCATCGTCAAATGCCCTTGCGTGGGTCATGGTCATGGCTCCACTAATGACTAGCCTGGTCGAAATCCAGGGGGGGCCCTTGTTGGCAATCTTCTTAGTCCGTACTCCGTGCTGCAGATTCTGGTTCAACAAGATATGTTGGAGCATGGGAAATCTATGCAACCCTAAATCCGTAATCCACAACTCGCACAATCTAATCCGCAAACCGCCTAATACGCAATCTGCTAATGATTGCGGATGAGGTCCTGAAGAAGCTAGAATGAGATGTGATGGCGGTTGTTTAAATATACTACTAGGCTGACCGTCCCCATCGACTCCAAGATTTGCATGTGCCAATCTCCACCTCGTCCCATGCTCAAGGGAACCTTGTAGATGCGGTAGGAGACTCCCGAGTCACATTGGACCCACGACGCAGAGGGGTTACCTTGTATGAATTCAGCAACTCTCAGGGTCCAAACCACACCATACCAACGGAATCTGCCATGTTATATCATATGTATATAGATGCACCGAATTCCCATACCATACCTAGAGAACGTGCTATGTCATATACATATATACATGTATACATATATATATATATATCAGCTTCCCCCTTGCCGCTGCCCCGCTTGCCCCCTTCAAGTTGCCCAACCCCGCCCCCCCCCCCCCCGCCAGCCAACCACCCCCGCCATAACTCGCCGGGCGTCGGGCTGTCGGCCTTCAGGCGAAACTCCCAGCCGAGGTTCGGGAGCTGCGCGCCCTGCAGCAGCTCCACGATCCTCGCCAAAGATGTTAAAACCTGCCTCTTCCCCGGGTTTATGTGTTTTTTTGTTTTTCTGGAAAGAAAGATCCCGGATTTTTGCCCGGGTTTTTGGTTTTGGGTTTTCCCCCGGGTTTTTGTTTTGTTTCTGGAAAAAAGGATCCCTGGACAGAATGGGGAAGGTACCCCTAGAACTTTCCATTAGCCGCCACGTTGACAGGAAGCGGCCTTTGATGAGCTGGCCATGGGGCAAAATCCGAATGAAATTTCCCGTACCCCCAGTGAACCTCCCAATCCAACCACTTAAAATAAGTTCTAAAATGGGTGGCGAATTCACCTAGCCCCAACATGGGATCCCAAAACGGTTTTGACCCACAGCCATTTCTTGACATCCCCCCCAGGGCGGGGGAGACTCTTGGGCGGATTTGACCCTTTTGTCCCCCGAATCAATTCCATCTTTCGAGTCTTCCCCCCATAAAAGTGCAAATGGCTCACCAGAAATGGAGATCTCAAGGGTTCGTTTTCTCCCCTCAATTACCAAGTCGTTCGTAAGCCTCATGGTTGTAAGTCTCCGTTCAGTGGGCTATAACTCACCAGGCTTACACAAATCACTTACCTGACGTGCCGATCGCATCAATCGCATCGATCGCCCACTTAGTGTCTTCGGCCTTCTGGCGATCTCCGAAATCATGTCCAAGACTCCTCGACTGTATAGACTTGCATACCGTCCCACCCCCTTTTCACACATGGAACCAGCATGTCATTTGGAGAAAGTGTGGGGTCCAGGTCTAGTTGGCATGCGGGCTTGACCTGGAATTCGTCATTTGGAGAATCGGCTTGTTCACTTGTTCCATGCCCTTGATGTTCAGAGTTTGGACGAAGCTGGTTCACGAAGCTAGCATCTTGAGAGCATTAGCATGCCCTTCCAACCCTGTGAATGGTAGCAAAACAAGTTCGTGTTTGCAGCCCCGTACTAAAAAATGAACAGAACCACAAAAACTTAAGACATTAAAGCATGCCAACAACAGTGAACATGCTTAAACAAATGACTTCGAGTCTAATTCGCAAGTCTCTTGGAATACAGGTGTTGAGTTGGGAAAAGCCTGGTCGGCGCATCATCTGGACTGTCATGGACATGTCCTCTGCCTAAGGTGTTTTCTCCTTCCAGGCATTATTCTTCGTGCAGCGTAGCGCGGTGCCTTCAATAGGGACTCGTGAATTGGTGTCTCGTGGCAAAATGTCTCACGACAGCGGCAACATGTGTGCCCCATCAAAAGAAGACAAGGAAAATCAAGGGCCTCTCCCTGCCTTCAGGGGTGGGGGGGGCAACTTGTTTCCATATATATATATATATACACATATACATACCCTGACAATCCAATGTGTGCCATATATGCCTACATTGGCCGACGCTTCCGAAAATCAAGCGCATTGGGAATTCTATAGAAATGTCGTTGAATTTTGGGGTCATTCAATCCGACAAATGTTCCGACAAATGTTTCGACAAAAAAGCTGCCACCCGCCCTCCCCGAAGAGACACGCGCCTTCCTGCTCAAGACCGTCCTGAGCCCTGCTCGCGCAATGCTTTTCATGACAGGCTGGCCCGGGCACCGGGATTGGGCGGTTTCGGATCTATTTACTGTGAATTCGCTGATACTTGGGCTGGTACACCTGCAGCCTCAAGAGGTATCTCCCCAACATGCGACATTCCAATGCACTACTGTGCACCTTCTTTGCAAGTTTCTTAAGAGCACCAACATGGTCCTCATCTGCATAAGTGTGAAACTTGCGATAGTTGATTCGGTCTTCCTGCATGCTTTGCAGCAAGTGACACACTAGATGTAGTTTCGGAATGAATTTCCATCTCATGATGGACTTGGACAAACAAAGGGTTGCAAGCTGCTCATAGCAGTCAAGGAAAAGGCGACCAGCTTGTGTAATTTCTGCCACCTGTTCATCATTCAAATATCGTCCAGCCGCCTCTGTTCGGTGGAAAAACACTGCCATGGCATTTGCCGCCATGCGTGCCAGGCACACCTCATGGTTGAAGTCCGTGGTCTTGTCCAGGATGTCAGAAAGAAACTGTAGCATCAGCCTCCCATTCCAGGCGTGCAAAGTGAGGAAGGGGTAGCCTGCATCTGCATGAATCATACCCTGTGTCAGGAAGCACTGGCTGTGCTGCACCTTCATGACATTTGCCCACAGTTTGAACCTGTTGGAAATCTCAAAGAGGGACTCTTTGATTTCGTCCGGGCCCCACCCGAAAACACGATGTTCAGTGAGCATCAGGATGCACGACCCGTTGAAGTGCTGAAGCACGCCAAGATTGATGGCGTGCATGCCACACCATTTTATTTGGTCAGGTGACCATCCACGAACACCCAGCAAAGGGTTTTGACGCTTCATTGCTTCCCCCACAATGTTGTCGTGCGGCCGCTTTGCGAACTGTCGGTGCAGGTCGGTCCACCTGAGCCCAGGCAAGGGCGGGCGGGAGTGGCTGGAACAATTTTATCTAAATGTTGAATTGATGCAAGAAATTCAACAACGTACCACTTGCACCAAAGATGCTTGTCGATGCCTTTGTTTGTTGCAAAGCACTGGTGACACACCCCGGGCGCACGCCAATGATAATGAAATCGCAGGGACCAAAAGTCTCGGTACCATTTCCAGTCTCCTCTGTATTCGATCAATGCGTGTGGCCCCCCTGCTATAGGCCTGCCTGCCTTGGCAGCAAACGGTTTTTGCAGCGGGTTGCCCAACCAGTCCTCTGATGGGTGTTTTCCAGCCAGCATTGCCTGGGAGGCTGAGTCACTAGATCCACATGGGTGAAATCACTGACCCAGCAAAGCCTGAGCTGTTTTGCTTATAAGCAGACAAGTAACATTGCATGACCACGTTATGCAGTGGAGCACGGGTTCCAGGGTGTCCAGCATGTCATCCAAGAGCAGCCACTCCCGGATCACAAACACCGGAAACCTGCAAAGGTCCCCTCCTTGGTTTGGCCAGTCCCGGCAAAAATGTAACAAGCGCCCAACCCCAGAACAAGCCCTGAAGTTCTTCTGCTAGCCAGGATTGCAAACAAGTGTTCTCCTAGCCAATGTTTGCATAGGTGAGTAAAAAACAGTAGCGTATGCAGAGCGGGGTTGAGGGTTGACAGCAAATTCTAGGCAAGACTCCCTCAACTTGCTGCAGTAGGGCCGACATGCACAAGCAGACCAACTTGTCACCGCCGTCTGTGTACTTGCAATCATCCCCCCAAAGTCCACAAGGGTTGGCAAACCCTTTGCCGGGATGTTGCACGGCCCAGGGCACTTGACGTTGGACCATGTGGTGCCAGAACTCCCTGATGTCCTTCCCAAACACTCGAAGTTTGCCGTTCTCCTTAGATTCGGAAAAGGTTATTGTCGTCCAATCAAACTCCAAAGCCATTGGAAATGTTTAATGCAAGTTCGATCAGTTGTCATCAGCCAATCAAGCGAACACCACAGGAAACACATATGGGAAATCAAATGTGCAGGCAGAGCAGCGAACAGATAGTCGAACAAGATATGTGGGAGAATCAAAGGCAGTCTGATGGTTGTTGGAGAAGCTCTGTCAATCGGGCTCTTGATCTTCAGGTCCAACCAAAAGAATTCCTGTGGCTGGAGCGGAGCATTCAAACCAAGCCGTACTATTTCGAAAGTTTGATCTGAATCCGTGTGCTTGAAATTTAAACTTAGTGTCCACTGGCAAGTCCAGGACCCGATACAGGTCCCTCTCAATGTTGCCCGGGTGCTTTCCGTCAGCCCCCAGGCGAGCAATGCGCTTGCAGATCTGGGAGCAGTGGCCGTCCGACTCCTGGAGTCCACATCGGCTGGGATGGGAAGAGGAACTAATTGCAGCATTTTACAAACCACACACCACTCTTAATTGTACAAACACTGCGCCGCTCCTTCACCATTGCGGTGGCAGACTGTTGCAATTCGCTACAGGCTGATGCCTGCAGTGTGACTCCAAGCACTGGTGTGTCTCAGCAAACATTGCAACACCAGCCAGAGTGAGTCATATGACGAGGTGCCCCAACCCCGAGTGAAGCAAGCAGGTGGTCCACGAAGGCCATGGATTGGCCACCTGGCGACAGGGAACAGCCCCTAAGACATCCTCGTAACACTTTCAGCTAGCAGTCCAAACTTGTGTGCAATGCAACGCGCTTTTTGCTTCGCAGATTCCAATTTGACCCCCATCATTGACAGGCTGACCCGCCAGTGACAAACCTCTAATGTGCAGAATCTTTCCAGGCAGTTGTCTACCAAGCCGGGATCTAAGCACTTGCCACGTAACACCCCAGTGCGCAGTGCGCATAAACATTTTTGACTTGGTTCATTTTTTTACATTTATGTGTGTCCGTTTCACTGGTCTGCCAACTGAACAAGTGCGGCGGCTTGGGCAACTAGCCACTCAGATTCATTTTGAAATCCATCTAAGCCGCCTTGGCCTTTGCTTTGCCCTTTGCCTTTGGCTTGCAAGAGGCTTGAACAAGGTGAAGCTTCACAGGCTTCACCTCCTTTTTCAACAGTTCATGATGATGACTCAAAGCGCTGATGCACTGCGCCAGCCGTATCTCATCGTGTCCAAAGGACAATGCCTCCTTTCAGGGGTGTATCAATCTAGATTGCTAGTTTTGAAACGCACAAGTTGCACAAGCCGCAGTCCTGCAGATGGGTCCTGGCTTCACAGAGTTCCCCAGCACACCTACGAACATCAGCGATCAATGCAGCCCGCAATGATTGAGACCTCAGAAGCAACCCTGCAGTTTAGCTATAGCTCAAAATGCCTCTGACGGGAAAATAGTAAACTGACTGAAGGAGGGTAATTTGTGACCAAGTTACACCCCGGCTTGGTGCAGCTTGTGATCATACCCATCCACTTCCAGCAAAATGGCGTTGGCCGAGGCGAGCGCCTAGAAGCAGGCTGGCATTGTGCTGCGAGGCACACACTGGCGGGAGATGGCAAGGAAGGCTAACCCGGTCTTCCTTTTTT